GACAAACTTCATTTAAGCATGTATAACTATAACTTAAAATAGTTCAAGCAATTTATGATCAATAGGAGTCATAAAACTAAGCTATGTGATGTGCAAAGAAAAACAATGAGATAATCACCAAAGCACATAAATCCCTTAGATATTCAAAGAAACAGCCTAGGCCGAGATGTAGAACATCCCCCAGGCACTAACCAATCTAACAGAATATCCTTGAAGATCTTAGCTTCCATACTTTCCCATCATTTAGGTTTACCTGAACTAAGGGCTACTGCCCCCAGAACAATACCCCTTCTGCTTCAATTCTCTTATCTACATCAAAGGCTTTAGTCCTATGAAAGTTTTCTGGTCTTTCTCAATCTTAGCATTCTTACATGTTTTTCTAAAGGGTTTTGGCTGTGGCCTCCTAAGCTAAGGACTTTGAATCTGTGAAATACATGTGTTTCATTTCTATCTCATTAGTCACTTCTTAGTCAATATCCTCTGCACTCAGCAGAAGTGTAGTGAAGGGGAATGGCTGAGGGGACCAACAGTGACTCCTACATCTACTCAGAGAAAAGATGTGGACCTTCAATCTGAAGCTCCTATGTGCGTGCATCTTTCGAGAACGAGATCCTGGCAGGCTGGCTGCAAGTGAGTTCCCTTGAAATTCAGGCCCTGAGACATGGAACAGGATGTTTGTGCACAGGCTGCCCTGCAGTGTCTTGGCCACCTGCAGTCATGCATCAGTCTTCAGAGTCCCTGGGCTCCAAGACACTGACACTGACTATGTAGTGAGTTTCACTTCCCCTGCTGCTGAACATGTTTGGGGAAACATAAAACATGCCTATAAGGGGTTTGGTCCTGTGCATGTTTAGTCAAGACCCAAGGTACTTCTTGTATTCGGATCTAGATTGACAGGAAATTAAGGTACTTCTTGTATTCGGATCTGTATTGACAGGAAATGCTGACTCTCTCCACTGGAGTGGCAAACAGGGAGCCTGGTCTTACTCAGAATAATGTCCCCACACACTGCTAAAGAGTAAAAGAGAAAAGTGGCATTTATGGTGCACAGAATGGACATGCATTGAGCAGCAGACACCATTCCATAGGAGAGAAGGCTTAATAAACTCTCCTCTCCTCCAAGGCCTCCCCCATCACCTACCCTTCAGAAAGCCAGGCTCAGGGCAAGTGCACCAGAGCCCCAGGACCATGCTTGTAGGGAGAACAGCTCAAAGCAATACCCAGTGATGTGACCTCGGTTGTCCCACTTGGGAGAGAATTGTTCCTAGGAAGACTAGGCTGATCCAGGGTTTCACATTTACCCTAATCCTGAGTACTACATTTG